CACAGTATTTCCAAGTCATTCTGTAGTTTGAATAGTGCCGGTGTCCGGTAAAGTGCCGGTGAATTTTCTGGGCACATAATGGCACTAAACTGGGACCCCCACTGTGTACATAATAGGGCTTTGCTGTTCCTGGGCAGTACATGTCGTGTCGGTCTGTGTCGCAGGCCTGCTCTTGTGATCTTTGTGATCTTCATGCCGTGGTTGTGTTTGTTGTTGTTGGTGTTGATGTGGCCAGGCTGGCGTGCTTTTCTTGGATATGTACCACACGAAAAGGAACTACATAATTTCACCTCCTTTCTAACATCGGCCTGTAGAATGCCAGCAGTGAAATCACAGCTTGCTTACAACCCTCGCGTGAGGACATCAGACATGCAGGTATTTTTGCTCCCCGGTGGTAAAAGCAGGCACAACAAGGAAAGACATTTTAACCCATCCTCTTCGACTTTCGCTGTATCTCGGACGGAGACTCTTTCTCTGATTGTTGTAAGAATATTTTCTGTGACATCCCCTTCGACTGTGGTTATGTGGTCATGCATAACGGGTAGTCGTGTTCGATTGTAAGTAAGATATTCAACCCATGCCCCCCCACCCCCCGCGACTGTGGTTGTATCTCAAACGGGTAGTCTTCCGCTAATTGGTTGGAAGTATTATTTCTAAGACAAGAGGAGAACAGTCCTCGACAGAGGTAGAGAGGTTGTACTGTACGCTTTTGTATCAAGGTGATCTCCACACTTGTGTTTTGTTTTTTTCGGTTGCTGCTGCACAGGGCAATCTTGTGATGGAGCAAGACTTCGGGGAGGGCAAGGTGCACATCAGACACGGAAAGATGAGCAAGAGCCGCTTCTCCGTCGACTTCCGTCACCCCGTCAGCCCGATAGTCGCGCTGGGGGTCTGCTGCAGCACCTTCGCCAACAAGATGGTCGTCACTTGATGAGAGGGCGACGACGGTTGTATGGATTGGGGTTCCTACCGCATAGTGAAAACGGGCTTCCTTGCCCAGAGGCGTCGTGACGCACTAGGGTTTTGTCTTTTGGTGGATTTGTATGATGGTTTAATTTTCGTAGGCAATGTGCGAAAGTATTCTAGCATCTCGCGGTGGTCTGGTTCGTGGCATATCTATCATCCGTGCCTCTTCGCTGCTGGTGTGTGTACCCTAGAGCTTGTTGTGATGCTGCCAAGCATGCGGTATGGGCACCATTCCGCTGTTGCAATGCTTGCGAGTTTCTCGCTTTTCAGTGTTTCTCAGAAGTATTATTCTAGGCATACTGCTGTACCTCGTGTGTTTCGTTGAGGTGTTTCTCGGTGCTTGTTTTGAGCGGGGCGGGTCTTGCCATTTGGGCCGCGGCGTAGGACCTGAGTTAGGCTCGATTTCACCGTCCTTTTGAGTCGGCGGTGTTCGTGGTACCTAGGTTTTGTCTTTGTATGCAGGAAGAGCACGCGAAGATGAGCTTCTTCCGCTGGCACATCGAAGCGAGTGTGCAAGACTATTTATTCACCATGCCGGGGTTTGCCTTGAAATTGATTGTTTGTTTCGGAGTTTGACGACTGGATTGGCCGGCGCTAACGATGTGCTCACACCTCGAGCCGCTTGTGTAGTGGCTGGGTGGTGTACATTGTTTTCAGCAGAGATTATTACCGGTCAGGAACGATCAATTACATCGCAGCTCCGCAGAAAATGACGAAGTAATACCCCATCATCCCGGGTGACCTTCTCCGCTCTGCCCTCCTACTACCTCACAGCAGTGGCAGCGAAGTCGAATACATTGTAACACCTTGAGCCGCATGTTGCCAACCCCATCGAACAACTCTTGTCGCCCCCCCCGCTTCCCCTTTTGCGGGAAAAGTAGAGCGTGCAAAATTTGGCATGTGATCGGGGGATGGTACTCAAACGTGAGGCATGGTGTGCCAATTTGTTCTCGCCGGCATGCTGTGGTTCCTTCTACTTGCTGTACACCAAATGGGGTCTTGGCGAGCATACTTCGCCCGTGAAACTAATGTCCATTTCCTCTTGCTGAACTGGGGGGCTCGAGGCTGCCGTGCCAAATCAAGGCGCCAACAACGTTCTGCGAGATTGTGTCGTGAAATGGCAGATGCATGTGGGTGTGCTCAAGCGGCGGAGAATTGGAGGAGTGCATTTTTTTTCCTGACATTGTCTTGGAATCAAGTTCAAGAACGACCTTGCTAGGCGGCCTGTTTGCGAAAAACATAGACGCTTGTCCCTGGGCTTCACAGGCGGAATGGTGCAATAGGACAAAAGGGGATGCCACGCTTGCGCAATGGGAATCGCAACAATATTTCCTCTAAGCTGGCCGTGTCAGACACATGAAATGGTCGAGACCAAACTTGAAACGCGCGATACATGAAATGGTTGAGACAAACTTGAACCGTGACACACCGGGTGAACCTACCTGATACGCGATAGCGTACATCAACACATTAATCGAGGACAGCCACGCAGCTTCATCCCGACACGACCGAGCAAACGAAACAACCATTTCTCAAGAGAGGCGAACCACCAGTTGAACCCTTCACGCTCATCAAATCAAGTCTTCCTTGGCGACGCGCGTGCGCCGACACACTGACTAGAGAGGGCATCCGTGGAGAGTACACTGCACTCAAGTGAAGCATACAAATTGCAACCCGTCCCACAAGCGAAGGGTCTGCTGACCTAGCCACGCCAGGGTATCCAAAAAATGAAAAGAGACGTCTCGACAAAAACGTACAGTAGGTGACATGACGCAAGACACCACACCCCTTCGTACCGAAATTCAAAGCCCGCCTACTCCACCAAGAGGATGCCGAAATCAAAACGATACGAATGCGGAAAGCTCTCCACGAGACGGTTCCAACGCCCTCAGCGCGTACTGCAGAGAAACCGAGCTTCGAACCCCCCCCACAAGGAGATGGTGGTGTTTTATGCGACCAACAAAGTCACATGCTACTGGACGGGGAATCCCCTCACCTTGCACTTTGGGTTGGGAGAGACACACTCTACGCAAACCTGTTGGCCGCACCCTATGCTTACTTTGCCGCAAAAGCACCGAAACAGGAATACAGCAGTGTAACCGCCAGAAAAGTGTACTATTTTACCCCGAATAGTGCACCCCTCTATCGTCACATCAGTCTACAGCAGTACCTCTCGCTACATACACCGACGTTCGGATCATGCCTTGGAACGCTTGGCGCTCTTGGGCTTCTTGGTCGAGGCAGGCGAGGCCGCGGCGGGAGTCGCTTCTTCCGCCTCCTCCAAGGGCCTCTTCTTGCCCGCACCACCGCCGCTCTTGGGCGACTTGGCTTTCTTCTTCTTGCCCGTCGAGCCTACGCTAGCAATGACGGCGGGTTCAGGCGTCTTGGGGGCCTTGGCCTTTTTCCCGGAGCCATTCTTGCCCTTGACCTTCCCCGGTGATTTCCCGCTGGGAGTGGCGGCGGCAACGTGTTTCTCCTCCGCTCCTATTGGCTTGGAGGGCGTCTTGGCGCTCCCCTTCGCCTTGGGTGTTGATTTCGCTGCGACTGTTGCTGGTTGTGCCGAGCTCTTCGACTTTTTCGCGCTGGGTGCGTCATCCCCCTTTGATGACGCCGTTGCAGCCGCTGCTGCCTTGCCCGCTGATCTCTTGTCTTTCGCGTTCGATGCCTCCTCCCCGCCCTGCCCCGCCCCAGTCTCCTTCCCACCCTTCCCGTCTTCCACCTTGGCGCTTTCTTTGTTCCGTTTGGCGCCTTTGGGCTTTTGGACAGGCCCCTTCGCTACCTTCCGGTCCTTTAGAGTGGCCACGAACCCCGGGAAATCGTAGTCGATGCCGAGCTTGGCGAGCTTGTCCTTCTTGGCCTTGTCCTTTTTGAGCAGCTTGGCGGTGTGTTTTTCGTCCTTTGCTTGAGTTCTGTGATTTGGGTGGTGGTGGGGATAACGGCAATCGACGTTGAGGACGGAGAAACCACATCACAACAAGGAGGTTGTCTAAAAAAAAATCGCAACAAAAATATACCAAAGGTGCGCGTGCCTTGTGTGGCGGCTTCCACAGACCCGCATCACCTCCTCACTCCACTCCACAAAAACCAAGAACGTCGCCTCCCCAAACTGCAGCACATTTACACATGCACAAGCGCAGTGGCGGCGTAAGTGATGGCGTGGGATGGCTCCGTGCCGAGAGGGAAATGCATAACACCGTCTCCTCGCTTGTCTGTGTTTCCAGTGTAGCCGTTTAAAAGCCTCCTGCAGCGCGGCACGCGCACCCAGCCCTCCTGACAGTACAATCCCTCTGCACTCATTACAATTTCATGATTACTGTACAGTAGAAATGGACATCTCGGTTGTACTCGGTTATTTGGAAATCCAGTAGGCGTCTATCGGTTAAGGGTCTCAAAACAAAAATCGGAAGTGTTATGCAAAGGACGCGTTTTGCAAATGTTGTGGACAACATCACCTCCCAGTCGGTCATCGGTTCCTGCTTTTTCCCGTCCGATGCCCATCTCTATTTCTAATTTTGACCCAAAACCTCGTCGCCAAACCAAGGAATAACCAAAAGCAGAACAAGCAGTGGCAGCAGCACCAACAATACGGGACGTCATCACTTAATGTTCACCTGTCGGCGTTGTACTTCTCTCGGTAGAGGCCGTGCCAGTTGACCTTGCGAAACTTCACCCCGGCGCCGTCGAAAAGGTTGGGGTGTATCTCCTCGAACTTGAGCACGCGGCACACCAGCTGCTTGTCGAACAGGAAGTACCCGTTCATGGTCTCGGCCACGATCTGGGCAACCTCCGGAGATACGAACTCCACGTACGCGTAGCCCTGGCGAAGGGTGCAACACACGGTTTTACGGGGGAGGCGATCGATCAGATTATGTAAAGGGTTGCTGGTGCCGTTAAAGAGGTGCGATATCCGTTTCATGCGTGTTGATAGGTTGTGACCAAGAAAAAATACGCGAATACATAAGCCCTTGAGCACGCGTACACACAGGAAGTCGAGGTTTTGATGGGAGTCAATTGAATCAGATACCTCGAAGGTTGCAGTTAGATAGGTACGTGTGCGATATGCGTTGTTTTATGTGTTCATGGGAGGTTGTGATCGAGATACCATACGCGTAGGCCTGAAGCGCGCGTACACACCGGAAAACCAAGGTTTTGAGGGGAATCGATTGAATCAGGGTTGGTGCTGTCATGTACCAACTTGGGTTGGTGGTCGGTGTGCGATGAGGTATTGATACTTGCCATCTGCGGCTCCGAACACCGTTGTGACCTACATACAATACGCGGAGTAAACCTTCGTACAACATCGTTTCGGCATATAATCCAGCCTACTGTACACGGTGTGCATCGAGGTAGAATCGTATTTCAACGTCACGCAAACTAGCCTTTTCTAGTGGTGAATACGGAAACGAGAAGTCGTTGGGTGACACGTGCGGCAAGAATAGCATCAGCTATGTACACACAAGAGAAGCAATTCTCGGGCAAGCGAGGAGCGGAGAGGAGGATCTATACGTGGATACACGATTACCCCCGGAAAACAATTACCATGGACCGTAAGGGATAACATTTGCCGTGGCGAAGGGAAAAGGCATCGAAACGCAAGAAGGTCAACGTCTGGTGGACGCGATGGTGCTCAAGGTTCACGTGGTTTGAAGGAACCGCTGCTATGCCGAACGTACAAAGCGTAGTTTATTATTTCCATCGCGAAGGGGGATAGGGAAGAAGTTGTCCGCACTCTACTACTGTAGTGCTTGACAAGTGTGCAGCGAAACAAGAGTAGAGAGACAACCTCTGTCGTAGAAACGTCCACTGATACATGTACACCGACCGATTGGAATTAGCGTGGGGCAAAACGCTCATTGTTGAACCGAACAGACGTTATCCTGCACAGCAGTGTGAGCCTAGGCACAGCACCCCACTCAACCTCCTTACCCACCGACAGCAAAAAAACGAAAAAAAAAGCATCACGACACAACTTTGTCCAGGACTAGTACGCATTCGCGCTGTGTCAAGCAATGTGCATCGATGACGGCTACCGATGATTCAAAACACAGAAATCGAGCACGAGGGAACAGAAGTCAGGAAGTAAAGGGCTAGCCTAAGCCTCACCTTGCACCGTCCGCTCTTCTTGCTTCTGGAGATGCGAACCCGGATGACGTCTCCGAACTGCTTGAAGAAGCCATTCATCGCCTCCTCGTAAAACCCGTGCGGGATATGCCCGATATACACCACGCCCGAGGGCTCTCCCGCAGGCCCCACAGGAACCACCGACCCCCCCCCCTTGCCCTTGCGCCCGGCCTTCTTAGCGTGTCGGGGAAGCGGCGGGGGCTTGAGCTCATCGCCATCGGATGCCTCCCCCCCGCTGAGGTCGCTCTCGCTCATGCTGTCCCACTCGGCGCCTTCCAGCGCCGCTATCTTCTGCTCCAGATCTTTCCGGATGACCTTCGCCATCTTTGCAGCGCGAGCGAGGGGTGCTTGGCCAGGTTGTGTCCTCTGATGTCACAGCGAGTGTGCGATGCATTGGGTGGTGGAGAGGGGGCGATGCGGCGGAATTGATTTTTCGGGAGTTCTATTGGTTCTATTTGCTGGTTGGTTCGGGGTAGGACATCAATCGTCCCCTCCCGATCTCCCCTCTGGCGTTAGTGGGACAGCTTCTGCTGCCGCCCAGTGTGTGCAAGCAGTACTTCGGGCTTGAGACCTGCGCTTCTGTGTGATCTGGAGGTTTGTTGGTGTATCCTGGGTGCTCTTGCTCCGCCAGGCGGATAGAAAAGCACTTGCATACAGCAGGACTGAGGGCGAGATGGAGCTTCCCGATGCCCTCAGCCCAGACAACCCAGGCCATGCCCAGACCATATACCAGGTGAATGGAGATCGGTTAAAACTTCCACAACGTATTACTTGCGGTCTTCCGAAGCGTTTTATGGGTCACAGCCTCTGCAGGACAATGCCGTAGCGTCGTTGCCGATGTGTTCGACAAACTAGACCAACGGCGGTTGTTGTGGCTCACTCAGCACTGGGGTTCGGTGCTCATTGCTTCTTGACCAGCTTGTGATGTTCTCGTACCGTACATACAGTGTGCTTGCACCTTTTCCTACCATTACCCTTGCGTCAAAATGTGGAGCAAGACATGACTCATTTGCTGCGCTGCTATATTCTCTGCAATGCAGTAGTCGTCTCCTATGGTAGACAAGAAAAGTAGAGATGCGCCGCGAAAGCACTCCATGACTGATGTCCTTCTCGGAACATAAGGTTGTGGCACTTGCGGGTGGGCCGTGCCACCGGGAAGGAAAGTCCGACGATTTCTATTCTAGATTTCGAGCTGGCTTCTATCACTGGTGCACGTTGGGTTGCATCGAAATTGACATCGAAAACAACCAGGAAGACCCGAAAAACGCCCGAAAACTGCCATGATTCAACGATTCAAAGCATGACTGACCATGCGAGCAACAACGGGGATCCCAGACAGCGAGCGGTGGTTCCGAGCGTTGGCCATAAGACATACTTGGAAGGTGCTGGTCTCGCGTCGATACCCTGCGAACTCAGCGAGCATTGCTGTGATCGAACGCTCCGGTTTGAGGCAGAAAGCCGAAGACGCTGTCGTTGGCACAAGGTTACAGAAGATCTTGGTAAACTAAACGGATTGTGCTCTATTGGATGCCAACTTCATGCCAACATGTCGCTTCATCGCGAAGCCGTCTGTAGTTGGCTAGGAGAAGGACAAAACTAAGGCATGCCAGATTTTTTGAGAGTCTGGCAAACAGCTGACAAGCAGCTGGCAAGAGTCTTAGGGTCGGTCTTGACGAAGAAATCAGATCTCGAAATCATATTCAGATTTGGTTTATAAGACCGGAAGATCCACAGAACTCTGTCGTTGTGTCGTTGATTGGCTGAAATGTTATGGAACCCGTCGCATCTTTTGGACTTAAAACAGGACGACCCAAAACCAAATCGGGATTTGAAAAAAGGTGAAATCATTTAATCGGATCCCGATTTGGGTGAACAGCGTCCATAGTTGCGGGACCACGGTCTACTCGCATGCACGGCGCGTGCCCACCTACCCCCATCCACACGAACTCCATCCACCGCCGAGCACAGAGGAAAGAGAGAGCACAAAAAGTCAACCAAAAGGGACGGTGACTGCGCATCGTTGTTGCACGTGACTGGTGCCGAAAAAAAACGTGTGTGGGATGTGTTGGTCTGTGGGGCAATCTCCCGTGGGTTGTCGAACTTCAAATGCACAGACGAATTGGCGGCTTTCCGTCCGACGAGGCTCGATTCAAACTCTCACATGCATGTAGACATCGTGTCAGTGCCGCACAGAGGCCATGTACGCGTTTGGTGTGTGCTTGTCGGGAGCGATAGCTCCCCATGTGGTGTGGCCACGTCATAACAGTACGTCACAACAGCAATCTGGCAGTTGGCAAGCGGCGGACCTCGGTTTGTTCGCGGTGGACTGCAGAGATTCGTTTCCATTTGGCAGATCTCCCGTTATGACACGCAGGCCATTTCTGTCCGGATTTGGGTAGATCCGACTCTTTTGTTCTTATATCGAAATGTGATTTCGAGATCTGATTTCTTCGTTAAGACCTACCCTTAACGTTCCCGTTTGCATTTTTGAGACGTACTTTCGATCTATTCAACTCTTCCTTGTGATGACCTACATCAACAGATTATCGGAACACAATTTCAAGAACCCGATGACTTCAGCCGGCAAGTTGTCCAATCAGATTCTATTTCTCATTTCCCGATTTTCGATAGAACATTACGGGGATAAGACCCCAACCTAATCGGGTGGCATGTTCAACCTTATGTTTTTCTGGGTCAATTTTGTTGCTGTTGTTGTAGAAAGAAGGGTGTAATGTACCCTCTGGTGCTAGTTGGTTTTGTGCCACGGAAGGCGTACGCGTCAGTTGGGCCAGGACGGATACCAGAAGGTACTGAGCAGAGTCCTGAACGGTTCTTACCGTGAAGAAATCAACAACAACAACCACAATTTTCACAACCACAACCACAATAACAATCGCTGCGGTTGCACGCAGGCTTTTGGCTTTCGATGGAACGTTACAGTAACCTAATCCGGCAAGGTTTTGCTACGCCACCACTGCTGCTGCCCACAGGCCATTGGCTTTTTACAGAACGTTGCTGTGATTGTATGAAGACTCGATCCTCATTCGGCAGCGTTTTGCTGCCCCACCGCTGCTGTTGCCCTCAGGCTATTTCGATAGAATGTTACTGCGATAGGAAGACTCAAACCTCATTTGGCAGCGTTCTGCCACACCGCCGCTGTTGCCCGCGCAGGCCATCGAGGCGTCAACCCAGAGCCCCGTCCCGGAAGTCAGGAAGCCCGCGGAGCAGCTGCTCAAAGCTTGCGAAGAGCTTCCCGGGTACACCTCCGTGCTAGCCGCCATCGCCACAACACACGCCGCACCGACGGACGCTAGAGCCACGGCCGTTATCTTGCTCAAGAACATGGTCAGGGTTCGGTGGAGGTCGAGGGGTGGGAGGGGTGCTGTGGTGGGGGACGGGGAGAAGGCTGCGCTGCGAGAGGTCCTGGCTGGTGCTGGCATGGAGGAGCCAGAAGAGCGGGTGGTCTCGCAGGTACTGCTCTGTCGGGGAAGTTGTTGGAATACAAGCACGCTAAGGCTACTCCTCGGAGAGCCTCTGCACTCATGAGCGTTTCGCTGAACTCACTTTGCTGTATTGTATTGACAGACCTGGTGTTGGGGCAGAACGGACTCGAGTGAGACCTGTGGGGCATCACTCGAAACAGGGCAGTGACTAGTTGCTTTGGCGACGTGTGACGGGCGTCACCTCGCAATCTACGGCAGTGTTTTCCGAGAATACCTACCAGGTTCTTTCATGTCACACGCCTCCGTCTGTTTTGTTTACATCCATCCGTCTGTCTGTATTCCTTTTCCTATCGCTTTAGAAGCCGAAATGAAGCCATTGCTCTAGTCAGCGCTGACAAGTCTAATGCTTTGATTTCGGCTTCACGCTTCCATGCGTCTGTATTATCTCTTACCGCCCCCGCCCACCCAAAGGCACCCCGGTTTCTTGCTCCGTGTGATTGTTTTGTCGAACAGCTGGCCGTCCTCATGGGCAAGATTGCGAGGGTGGATTGGCCGGGGCAATGGCCGCAGCTCTTCCCTAACCTGGTGGCCTCTCTTTTGTCGGGCAGTCCCCGCCGACAGAGGATGTCCCTGTGCGGCACCAACGAAGTGAGAACACAGCGAGAATCGATCGCTGTTGTTGTTACTGCCTTCACATTAATGAAACCGTTCCGGTCTCCCAGCACCTTGTGATATCCGCACTGGTCCAACTCTGCCAACATTTATTCGAATCGCTTCTTCTTCAGCATGCACCGTTCTATTGACACTTTTCGAACGTTCATTGGCGTCTGTGGGGCAACCTCACGCTCTCACCGTACCTGTTACTCACGCCCAGTTTACAACCGTGGTAACAAACCCCGCAGAGCCAACCGGGCCCGTTGGGTGGCCTCTGTTCTTTGGGTACCCCTTGCAGTAGCTGCGAGCCGCGGCACAACTCCTGCGGCAGGTGCCACTCATACAATGTTCGGTTTGCTGCTGCACGCCAAGCATTGCGTTGTTGCCGTCGTTTCCCGTCGTTTGTAAACGCCAAGCATTGTCCCCCATCCGGCCCAACCCAACTCGACAGATCGTCGGTCAGAATGCAGTAAAAGCGGCTAGCACCGAAGCTTGCCCAACCCTGGCCCCTATCCCTCCTTCGGCCAAATTCCAACGTGATTATTGTAGCTTCGAGACAACCCTTCACTCTCTCAGAGCCATCCCCGCCCTTGCCACAGCCTAACCTTGCAACCTTTGTTGGAACTCCACCCAACATCCAGGTGCTGAAAGAGCTTTCAATGAAAAGGATTGGGTTCGACAAGGCCTCCTTCATCAAGACATCGGCCGATCTCCTTCCGGTGCTGTGCCAAGCTTGGGACAGCCAGTGGGCGATAATAGAGGGCCTCTTGCCGTTGGTAGCGGCGGGAAACGTTCCTGACCCTGGTGGCTCTGACGGGGCGACGGCGGCCGTAGAGGCTGTCCCGCTGGGTACCGTTTGCATAAAGGTGGGTTGAGATGTTTGATGATAAGTGTATCAACTTATCCCTTTCCTCATGAAAAACAAGTGCTCCGGTATGCATACCCCGATACGATATATTTTCCCTGTGAGGTACTACGCATGATTTCAGTTCGTACCTCTCGGTGTAGCATTCTGCTTGCCGTCAATAGCTCGTGCCCAAGCGACGACTTAGATTTTGAAAGAGAGACAGGAGGCGCCGCCTTTGCGATGCCGACGACTGTTCAGGTCTTTCGTAGATGCCCAAAGGTGACGCTGCTGCTTCTGTTTTTGTTGTCGCAAATGCGGCCAACATGGGGGACTGAAGTCGGTTTTGCTTGAATTTCTTGGGCGTGCCTTCGTCCGTTGCACGCGTTGTATCCCTCACACCCCTGATATGAAGGCACGGGGTTGTTTGCACGCGAGGTGAAAGATGAAATCAAGTGCTACTTTCCAATGTTGTGCCGCCGGAAGAGTGGGTGCATTCATCCCCACACCCCCACTTGCTTCTTGTTGAGGGAAGGGTTGCAGGCCCGAGAGGGCCCGTCGCCAGAGTGTGAAACTTCGCCGGATCGACGAACAGTTGAGCACCTGAGCTCACAGCTTTTCCTGCTTATTTGGTCCCTACTTCCTTGAAGGGCCGCCTCGACGCCGAAGACGTGGACCTACCCTATAGGCGCGGGAACGACTTCACAGCACCCTTTGCAGATCACACAGCGGCTTTCGCAACTGAGGATCTACCCACACTCTACTCTATCCCTAATCTCCCGTGGTTGAACTACCTTCACAGATCATACCCCGGCCTCTTGAACTGGTAACTATGGACCTCTCACCCAAACTTTTATTACTCTACAGCCCGACTCTCGCTCTAACCTCCTTCATAGACACTTCGCCCACCTTTTCAACTGACAAATGGATCTCACCCAAAATCATGCTCTGTCCCTACTCTCCCTGCTGGAACTACTTCTCACAGATAATACGGCGGCTTTTGCAGTTCGGGATTCCCGGGTTAGACCACCCTAGCATAGAGCTCCTGTTTTCGGGCCTGCTACACCGGATGCAGAGCGTGGTGGCGGCTTTAGAGCAGCACCAGGCTAAGGCGAGAGCTGCGTTGAGCCCGAACGTAGGTGGGGGCAAGGAGGACGGGGAGGCGGCATTCTTGGGCGAGCTGCAGGAGCTAGCGGAGCGGATGGCTTGCACGGCCGTCGACGCGCAGAAGGATCACCCCATTGGCTTTCGGAGGTACAGCTAGCACCAAGAACTTGCGAGGTTATGAGATCCAGGCTCCACAAAATGATGGTTTTAGGAACTTGGCCGTGAGAACAGTCAACAGGCCTACACTAATACCTATATTGTCGCCCGAGGGGGTGTGCTGTACCCCATAGACAAAAGAGAAACTGGACTCGGCTGAAATCAGGGCAGGTGCTATCTGTATACAATTTTTTGTGGACGAGTAGATGTCTGCTTGATGAGACACGTTTAGGCGGCCTGTTCCACCTGTCGTTCTTCTGATGTTCTCCGTCGTTTATGTGGTTGGGCTACGTTGTGTCCCTGCCGAGTTCTAAGGAGGCGGAGCTGTGTTGATTTTTCGGTGAAAGCACTGACACAGCTGCATTTTGTGACGTGTTTCGACCGGCACCGGATGAGCATTCTACTCTGATGTTTTTCAAGGTTCCATGCGACATTGTGTGTCGCGGAAAGTGGTTCTTTGTACGATTCTTCCTGTTCACGCTTGATGTGTAATTCACTTTGGCTCTGACGTGGAGTCATTCTTTGGCATGAGCAGTACGGCAAAGCATTCACTCCGATAGTTGACTTGGTTTATATGTCATGTACATGTTTCCTGCATCACTTTTCACGTGCGTGCGCTCTTCATGTCTCATTCCCTGATCATGTGTAATTGACACGCGTGGTTCACTGTTCACGTGTGATTCACACGTGTGATTCACTGTTGACGTGTGACACTCATTCTTTGGCATGATCCCGGTTCTGCTGAGGCGAAGTTGGGGGCTGTGGGTCAGGCGGTGGTCAGAACGGGGCTACAGGCGAATGTCAGCAAGCGCATGGTAGTTGGTGATCAAAATGACAGAAGTAGAGGGTATGGCCGCGGTGATTATTGCTGTGAGAGTGAATGCCCTTAAATACATCAGTATCGACGGTGGGACTCCTCATGAAGCTTCGAATTGACGTCTGTGTCCGTGCTTGCAAATATCGTTACCGCTATTTGCGAGCCTCCCGGTCTATCGCCCCCCCTCCTCCAGCCCCTGAACATTTTCTTTTTGCGAACGTGTGTGAATCAACAAACACTTTGTCCAGGTATCTTTCGGCGTACCTGTCGTTTTTTTGCGAGCAACTGTCCGCCATGGCTCGTGTCCGGGCGACTTGCCCATCCAAGGGAGTGGGAGGAACGGGGGCGGGTGTGGGTGCGGTTGCCGGGGGAGGGTTGTGGCGGGAGGCGCCTGAGACGTTCGGAGGCGTGGTGGACCCGCAGTCGATTGGACCGTTCTGCATCCAGTGCATGTCCTTTGTCGCGAACGTCGTCTGCTGCTCTAGCTACCGGGAGGAGGTCCTTCAGAAGGTACGGCAGTACTGCTGTATTTGGCACCTTTTTTGGGCATTATCCAGCAGGTGCAGTACTGCTGTGCACCTTTGAAATGAAGCTCTACAACTGCTGCTGCTGCTGTTGTTGTTGTTGTTGTTGTTTTGACAATGACAATCGTTCCGGTCTCCGCTCATCACCTTCTAATGTCCATATTTGTCCAACTGACGCGGACACCTTCCGTGGTCATAAACCAAGTACTACCCAGAGGGGGCACACCTTTCTAGTACGAGATGATAAAAAGGAACCCAGAAAAAAGAATTGCCCCAAACGCGGTACAACTAGCATAGCACCAACAAGAAAGTAGCAGGAAAAAGGAAGAAAAGGGAGGAGGATGTGCGACTGTTGTTCTTTAGGTCTTATTAGCGGTTTTTGAGCCTGAGCGATAGGCTCCATGCCGTTCATCACCCCTCTGAGATCGAGACCTATTAATAAGAAATACTTATATGTAGGGGTGATGATGTTCCGGCCGGCCGGAGAAATCGTTCGCTGGAAACCCGATCGATATCGCGGGAGAAGAGGAATCAACCAGGCAGCAATATATTTGTGTTGTTCTGCGTTTCCGGTTTGAGTGTCGGTTGTTCTCCTGGTCCTAACGCCGTTTCTCTAGCATCTGTTGGTAGATATGGTACACATAATATGTAATATTCCAGGTATGTGGTAGATATGGTAGATATCCCGCGATGGTGACGGCGGTTTGTCTTCTTTCTGATGGACCAGTACGGAAGAGAGATTCTCTCTCGATCGTGATGCAACAGCGTGACCAAACGGAACATCGATTGCTGCGTCGTCTCGTTGCGTGAAGGCTATCGCGGCGGCCACCGTAGCACCGGGGGGTGTTGCTCCGGTTACCGCTAGACGCCCGGGGGCCGGGAGGATCATTACGGGCAAGGGTGACGCCATCATCACTGCAGGTACCCGAGTTTGTGAGCGCGATTCACAAGTGGCGGTATTACCACTTTCCACGCGGTACAGTTATTTGCTCACGGTACGCAGGCGTTAACTTACAGCTCTGCATGCCCTGATTATGCTGAGTGCGTAGTGCCGATGGTGGCCTTGGGCGGTGAAAGCTTGAGCACTTCTCGCGCCGCACAGTTTTTGTGCGCAGTTCGGCAATTGTGGGTGGTGTTGCCCGATGATGAACGAAGGCACATCCAACCTTGTCTTTTGGCCCTTGGTTTTCCGACTGATCTACCGTGTCCCTAACCTCACATCGACGGTGGCCCCGGCGAAACACACACAACGGGGTTTTTCAATAACCCTCTCGTCATGAGTAGATTAGACCGCTTTTCAATGCGGAGGTTCGGACAGGGATTGACTAGTGACCATGCGTGAGGTTCTGAAGGTCGCATTGCGGAAGGGCAAGTCCTTTTCCTCGTCGCGATTTATTATGTTCTCCGATCCGTGCTGTTTATTTTATTGTTTCTCAAAAGTCGTTGGTGTGTTGGAGTGCGCAATGCATATATACTCAACAGCTTCAGCATATACACTCAACAGCTTCAGTGGCCCATCATCTATCGTCATGCCACATCGGACGTGTGTTCTGATTCCGAGCGGCACAGCGCAACACGCAGTCATATTTTGGTTCCGTTATCTTGTGTTCCGAACTTCCCGCGGCGAAACGACTATACTGCCACGCTAGGCAGCTCACGGCCAGGTCGGCATGGTTGCTGCAAACTCGCCCGCGATATCGATGCACGATTCGCATCCGTGAAGCAGTCTCAAAACGACAAACTTCGAAGCAAGGTTGACGGATTACAACTCTTAACGCTTCCATGGTGTAGTTCGTGTGGGTGTCTATGTCGCATGCTCCCGTGAGCCTTAACAGCAGATCTACATGCTCGGTATAGTACCTCACGCAGACCAACCCTCTCTGAGCATTTTATGAGCAGGTGAGGACCAAGCGGAATCCGGCTTTCCTGGCCAGACGCTCTTGGGTTGATGCCGTATTTTTCAGATCCTCGTACTCGTGCGCCTGACCCGCCGACCACTCGTGACTGCTGCCCTGGCAGATATCGCGCGCGAGATCTCGTCTGTGATGACCGACTTCTTCACCAAGGAAAGGCGAGTACTCCGTTCCTTCCAAGACCTTGGCCCCCTGTTTGCTTCGGGTTAAGGGTTAGGGTCATCTAACCCTAAGCCCGAAGTTGTTGTTTCTTGGCACAAAAGTACTAAACCTCTTCTTGCTCTCCCACGGTGCCATGAAAAATACTTCTTCCTCAGGTCCTATCGTTTCTGCGTATGGCACACATTTTGCTGGGAAGGGTAAAGGGTTACAAAGCTAGCTCTGATGGGAAGCCCAAGGAGCCGTGTGCTCCGCTTTGATTCGTCGAGTAGGGCCTGCTTTTCAATGCAGCTCGCCTCAGAATGAGACGTCTATGCTGTTTTTTACCCTGTTTTTGTCATCATGTATCACATGCTCAGGCTTTCACCCCTCCCCCTGGGATTGCAGAACTTACATGGATGCGTTTTAGCATTTTAACATTTAGAATTTTCGTTGCACAGTATCGACCCTCTTTTCCTCTTGCCCTCTTTTCCTTCTTGTAGTATCGGTCCTTTCGCAGGACCCTTAGCCTCGTATTGTACCGCTGTACCATGTCCGCTTGCTTCGATCCCCCCGTCCTTCGCTGATTCACATCGTTCCCCCCGATTGACGCTTCGAATAGCGCACAAGAGTCCTTTTCATGACCGCCCTTGCCCCATGCCATCCCCTATCCCCGTGGCTGAATTTCGCTTGCCCCCTGCCTGATGGTCTCCCAGGGTGGAGGCGTTGTTGGGCCTGCTTCTCGAGGGGTACTTGCCGTTGACGCCGGTAGAGCTGGGGGACTGGGAAGACCAGCCGGAGGACTACTTCCTCCTGCAGGATAGCATGGAGGCCAGAGAGAGTGTTAGGGTGAGGGGGCAGATCAACATCGCACTGTGTTGCTGACGCTTGGTGTTATCGGAACTCGGCGGAAGCATCAAAACCAGGGCCAGCGCAGAGAAGAACTCTTGGACGTGTCTGCACACGAGCCAGCAGGATGGTGGCAACATTTGGCCGCAGTTTCTGGATGTAGAGGGAGCAGGCAGAGTATGAGGTATGCATCTTTTTCGTTCTGTTTGCGTACAGCGGCAGCAGAGCGCACGTCGGCGGTGCAAGGCTTAGGCCATAAGGTGATACAATGTCACTATGTTGAGTCACCATCGCTCTTGAGTCACTGCCAGAGCAGCGCCGTTCTGCGCGAAGGGGTGCTTGGCTTGATAGCTATAATATTGTCGAAACACACTGCTCCGGGGTTTGTACTGTTCCTCCATTGTGCGGAAGTTGTACACCGCCCCCCTTTCAAAAAACGCTGAAACTAGGTCAATTTTCTCGAGAGTTCAAACCTTAGCATCACGTTTACAGCAGTGAACGTCAGTTTGCTAGAGAGGTCAGACCCGAGGACAACGTGCTCAGCAGTACGGGCGTTGTGGGAAAAGTTCGGTGTTGGACGTGACGTCATCATCATCGGCAACAACTACAATAACAATAACAGCAGCAGTAGTAGTAGCAGCAGCAGCAGCATCAGCTGCAGCAGCAGCAACAGCATCATCATCATCAGCAGCAGCAGCAACAGCAGCATCATCATCAGCAGCAGCAACAGCAGCCACTTTTACTCCCTGTGTTGGTGAGGGGTGCTACCCATGCTTAACGTCCCGGCTCGTGTGTTTGCATGATTGCTTGGCCCCGTGAACCAACAAACCAATATAGGTGAGCGCGCAGCAAGTCTACATGGCTTTGCTCGAGGCAAGCGGAAACAACGTGGGGGGCGTCCTCGCTGCGGCAGTCGCCAACATGCTGTCGCAGGGCGTTCAAGAACAGATCGAGACCTGCCGGCAAACTACCATCAGGTGCGGCCAGCGAATACGCGTCGAACTTAGTCTGACCGACAGCTCACTCGCGGCATGTAGAGCTTTCTCTCATATTTTTCGCTCTGTACGTGTTTGGTGTTTCAATATGCAAACCTTTTCGACTTTTTGTTGCGTGTATGTTGCTCTCGCTTGTTTTTCGCGCGGTTGGTGGAAGTATCGTATGGACGCCATTTTCTTGCGTTGCAGTAAAACAGGCGGGCTCGAAGGACTGTTGCGCCCCTTGCTGTAATCATTGGCCGAGAGCGACACATAACGTTTCCCGCTTCATCTGCACCCCCTATGTCTCTATCGACGGCCGTAACCCCAATCCTGCTTGCATGTTCCCTACACGACACAGAGCACTTCAGACTGCTGTTCGCTGCAGGAAAAGTTAAAGTTCGCTGCAGCGTGTCTTCGGCTATAATTTTTGTTGTTCCTGAACACCACCCTGTTTTTTTTTTTATACAGTAAGCGCCCGTACTCGAAAACCTCTTTTTTCGGCCGAGCAAGGCTCGTTTTCTTACGTGTTCTATGGGGTACCCCGACGGCGATTATATAGGTATCGGCGAAGGCTTCTTTTCTGAGCTTGTGTTATTATGGCCAAAGTTTTAATGTAAACTTTTTATTGGCCTGAAGTCCTTGACTCCCGGTGCTGGCGCTAACCGCACAACGGTCTCTTGATCGGTTTGCCTTTTAACCAGTCGTATCCGCCGCTGAACTGCTGTCCTCCCTTCTCGCACCCATGGAACCAAACCGCAGCCCTCAAGTGCTGGCGTGCGACGCCCTGTACCTGTGTGCCGGTCTGGGTGCCTACACCGTCAAGCAGCACTTCGACTTCCAGGCGTGGTTTCAGGCGTTCCTGGGGCCGGCGCTCGAAGCGCTTGTCGCGACCATGCAGGCCAGAGCGCTGCAGGTGGGCGGGGGAGAGGAGTCTGGTCTACGCAGCAGTATTACTGTGGGCGAGGTCTCCGGAATAACGTCGATATCCCACATCAATACCGTTGTTGTGGGTCTTTACTCCCCCCCCCCCCCCCGTGTAGAAGTGTCGAGCGGTGGGAGTTGGACCGGGTTGTGTACCTCACGTGACCAGGTACTTTTGGACATAACGTGACTACAGAAAGCAAAACCAAGTGAAGATTCCCTATATATCGCGGTACCGTTTTTTTTTTTTCTTGGCCAAGCTCTGGGGTGCATATTTTTCGTAACCAGACGTAGGTGCGTATTTGACCCAATGGTGCGAAATTGCACGGGACGTTACACGAGCATTGAAGTCAACACCAAGCAGAGATTCCTATTGTAGCGACAAAGTCCCTCGTCGTTTTTATCAAGCTCCGATCCGCGTCGCTGGTACCGAACATGATTCTGCCTTACTGTTCTTGCTAAACGATGACTGCCGTTACAATACCTCGATAGATCAGAATTAGTTCCTTCCTCAGGCATGTTCCGATCAAGAGTTTTCGTGGGACGAAGAACTTCTCAAGCGTTTTGTTCGTTCGGATGCCCTTCCAAGCTGTCGCCCAATTCACCGCTGCTGTGAGATTGACATCTGGTCCGTTGCGGCACGTCTTCCCCCTTGATCTGCGCTGGTCACGGTGCTTGAAGGCACCGGCCGTATCGGACTCCTGCGGCCCGATGGTCTTGTTGCGGCGATTGATGTGGCTTCTGGGCTGTTGGGCGGAGCAAATACCGGCATCTCTCCGCCCCGCTCTCGTGCAGGCAACGGCGAACGTCATGAAGGTGTGTTGGCGAGGGTTAGGAACGGCAGCATGTGGGATGTTTGGCGCGCGCCCGTCGGCGGATGTGCAATTTCTGAGCTGAGATGGGCGGCGTTGCTATTAAGACTGGGAGGTAGGAAAAATCGAGTCTGACGAGAGTTGGATAAGGCTTTGCGGTTGAGGCGGCTGGTGGTTGAGTAAGCGAAGTTCGGTGAAGGGTAAGGTTGGCACAAGAGGTTTATTCGAGGTGTGCAGGTAAACGCTTGTCACAAGGCTTGGCGTGGCTGCACTCGGTTGGATGAAAGAATGTCAGTGCGGTTCGCGAATGCAGAGGAGAGCTTTGGCTGGTGGTGACGATCGATTATGTACTGGAAGAAGCGAAATACCCCTTGTTTTCGTTGGCATGTGTTTTCATTGCGTCATTGTAGCTGTGCTCTACACCGGCTGGACGGCTGCTACAAGCTATCCCTCGCAAGCCGAAATCAGCTCATTTTTGGTCACCGCAGCCCCTTTCTCGCCGACAATGCCGCAACCGTTCTCTCGGGAGACAACCTTCTATTATAGCCACCCCTTCGCCACGACGTCCCTTTGTTACAGGCAACAGAGGCCGACATGGTGATTCGACTGTCAGCCCTCAGTGCGCTCCGAAGCTTGCTTTCCCTGTGGGATCTCGACCCCGAGCAATGCCTTGCGCCGGCACTTGGGTGGCTGGTGCCTGCTCTGTACGCCATGTTTAAAGATGTCAGGGAAATGGACAATCGTCAGGAGGTATGGTTCGGCTTCAGTTGTCTGTGTCTAGCCCATGGCAGTTTTCACAGGAGTGAATGCATGGGTGTCTTGAGTATCGATGTCTAGCCCATGACCGCTTTCTCGGGAGTGTCTAGCCCATGGCTCTCTTTACTGTCAATATCTAGCCTATCTATTAACAGGGTTCACAACAGTGAATACTGATTGTCTTGAGTGTTTCTGACTATCCCATGTACCAGGACAGCTTTCACAGCAGTGAATGCATGTTTGTCTTGCGTGTCTATGTGGAGCCCATGCACCATGACAGCTTTCACAGCAGTGAATGCATGGATGCCTCGACTTTTTGCGTCTAGCCCATGACAGCTTTCTCGGGAGTGTCTAGCCCATGGCTCTCTTCACTGTCAATATCTAGCCTATCTATACTAGGGTTCACAGCAGTGAATGCTGAGTGTTTTGAGTGTTTTTGTCTAGCTCAATGTACCATGACAGCTTTCACAGCAACGAAAGCATGGTTGTCTTGCGTGTCTATGTGGAGCCCATGTACCATGGCAGCTTTTACAGCAGTGAATGCATGGGTGTCTTGACTGTTTACGTCTCGCCCATGACCGCTTTCACGGGAGTGTCTAGCCCATGGCTCTCTTGACTGCCTATATTTAGACTATCTATACTAGGGTTCACAGCAGTGAATGCTGAGTGTTTTTGTCTAGCTCATGTACCATAACAGGTTTACAGCAGTGAGTACATGGGTGTCTTGACTGTCTACGTCTAGCCCATGACAGCTTTTACAGGATTGAATGGATGGGCGTGAGTTGTCCATGTCTAACCCATGTACCATGGCAGCTTTCACAGCAGTGGATGCAGTTCTTACCAAAAAATAGCTCAGTTTGGATTAGCCGTGGCTCTGGCCCCGGCCCTCATTGTACTACGCCACACACGATGCACTCTTTGCCTAGGTTTTGACGGTGATGTCGGAGATGCTGGAGAGATCGGGACGGCTGCTCGTGCCTCACTGCCAGGCTGCAGTGGCCGGGCTGCCCGACGTGTGGAGTGCCACCTCGTCTCAAACACCGCTCAGATGCTCCTGCCTTCAGGTGATGTCAACCGCCTGTACCCTCTGAACAACACAACAACAACCTACCGTAGATGACACAAGAAACCACACCCCCTGGACCGCCTTGGATAGCTCGATTACTCCACAGCAGAAAGAGTGTCGGTGCCGAAATAAGGCGGCGTTGGCACCATCTCTTCGAGAGCTTTTCGAAGACGCATCGTTTGGTTTGGGCACCCTCTTCGTTAAGTGGCCGAGCTTTGACAATCGGTCCGAGGTTGTGTGGTATCTGGTGTACGGTAGCCCTAACCCTAGGCCCTAACGATGCCTGGCGCCTGCAGTAGTAGGCAAGGGGTCCGGCACCCTGTCGCGCGAGCAGGTGATCGCGCTTGTTCCGCAGTTCAGCAAGTGATGGTGGAAAGGGAGCATGGTGGCTCAGTGTGAGCCTTGATTTCCTTGTAACACGGAATTGTCGGCAGCAAACCTTGGACATGCATAACAGCTGCGTTGTATCGACCGACTCGGGAGAAAAGTAGTGTCCGACGCTAGGCGCTGTGACCAGCGGACAAGCTGGTAAATAGTAGGGATTGCTGCATGTACAAATGTTGTGTGCGGGCGTTTCGATTCATCAACAGCGAATCGGTTGTGTCGCAGACAGTACGTTGGGAGGCACCCAGTCCCGTCAGCAGCCTCTTGGTCGTTAGAGAAATCGGGTTATGGAAATTCTCGTCCCAAGAGGATCTGGTATTCGTCGTCACGAATGATCGTCTATTACATCAATCCGCGTGTGGATATTGACGTTGGTGTTTGCACTCGCCGAGACTAGAAGCGTTACAAGCCTGACGTGCCTCATAAATCTGATACTTGTTTCTGTGGTGCTCTCGTGATGTTGTAGCCGTCTTGTAGCAGGTCGCTCTATTTATAATAGCGATCTTTTTTCAAAGCTTTTGGAGTTGTTTTGCCTTGTGGGAAGCCTCTCTAGAGAGGATGACATCCAGTTGCCTCTTCTGCCGATTCTTCTGCTTCATTCACGCGTCATTCACGCGAGGTCGACCATGGATGCGGTTTGCGACAAGGTACCCGATGCCCTTTAAGGACCTCGGTCCGAACTTGGCGGTGTTGTACTTGTTGTGATTTCCCTCCGAGAGATGCATTGATCCCTGGCTATAGAAGAGTTGTGGGTGCGAGGTACAGTGTTCATAACTTTCTAGTGCTTTTTCTTTGCTGATAACTGCGCATTTGAAGGTGATGACGCACGTGGTCGACGCGCTGGGAAGAGACAAGGGTCCAGACCTTGACCGAATAGCCCTGGCGATGGTGGACGTTTCCACCAAGGTCGGCAGTGATGAAGCGGTGAGTTGCGATGTAGCGCCAATCTAATTGTCGTCGTCGTCGTCGTCGTGGTTGTTGTTGTTGTCTTCCCATTTGTATACCGCTCCGATTTCTCAATCCAGAACCTTCATGTATCCGTTCTGATCTAGCACTTGACGCGGTCGATTCCCGTGGTCACAGGCTACCATCAGCCTGTTTGGACCAAGAAATTTACGGCCTGTTCTTTGTTGATCCAGGCTTCTGTCGAGCGTTCTGACAAGCATTATTCATGACATCGTCTAGTCGTGCAATGATCGATTTTTTGTTGTTGTTTGTGAAGTCATCCGTGACATGGTCGAAATATTGATTGCTCGGTCAGATTTACCTCATGGAGACGGGTCTGGGGCTTTGGCTGGCGCTATTGAGACACGCCACGGACTACAGCGAAGGTTTACACAACCTCTTCCCGCGAATCCCCGAGATGCTCGACACAGACCTCGACAACCTCAAGCAGGTGCAATGAGTATGGGCATCGGCGGCGCGACAGGCAGTAGCTGTGGAGATGGTTTGGGGGGCGACATCGCACCCGTGATGTCATGTCCTGTCTGGCTTCACGGAGTGGTTTGTGGTGTGCCTAGCCCGGGAGTAGTGTGGTGGCCTGTGTGGTATGCATGCATTGCGGCGTTTGATTGGTGAGCGGCTGTCTTTGCGAGTTATTGCCGGGCGTGAATGTTCGGCGAATACCTATACCTAAGTGGTAAACCGATGATCACGGACGCTTTTTGCTTCACTCTCCCGCCGAGGCTATTTTGTCTTTCGATGTCTCAGCGCAGATGCGACGCGGACACCTGCGTCTGCCAAGGCTCACTATTTCCAGGCATATCTGCAAGCCGTGTCGAAGTGTTTCTACTATACATTCTATTCAAGCTACAATATGCAGACATTGTTCCTGGCCATCGCTTTTTCATTGGTTTGTTTTTCGCGGAGGATGCTGGCTGCTCTGTCTGCACTCCAATGTGTGGGTGTGCTGTCTTGGTTGAATCGTTCCTTTGTAAATGTTTGTAACGTGCAGCAGCCAGTGCCTTCGGTTTCGCTCCTCGTGCACCCTACCAAGCTCGACTAACGTTTTTATCCCCTTGCGTTCGTACAAGGTTTGTGCTTGCTCTACGCTGCTGCCTTGAATACAAGGTTTCGCTCTCTTCGCATTCGATTTTGTTGTATTCTCTCTGTGTACTCGTACGAAATTCTGGCAGTCGATGCTCATCCTCGAGGCGCACGTGGTAATCGGAGGCACCGTGTTCCTGCAAGCGCATGGCCCTCTTGTCTGCACCTGCTTCTGCCGGGTTGTGGGGCAGGCAAGTCAGTCTTTTTGGCATGACAATGTCGTTGCGTACCGAACGGGAAGTGTATCCATAAAACTTCTCTGCAGACCGCAAGCCCGTTATATTGAACCTGTAAGTACCGCCGGCAAGGTTCCCCTAAAACGTTTTCCAGAGTTTGCGAGTAAATTAATGCATGAGTTAAGCCGAGTAGCAGAAAATCCTTCACGCGCTGAACTAGTATGTAGATGGGTATGCTACGGGGGGATTGGGAGAATAGTGCGAAGTTGTCGGATGCATATCCTTGTAGTTGCGGTTGAGGCGCATGGTTACGGGGGGGGGGTTATGTGCTCGACTCCGTATCGTGAGGCAGCGTTGTCCATGGCCTGGACAGCGTCATGCAGAGATTACTTCGATATCGTTTAAACTTGCTGCGTTACGTACAGCTACACTGCCTCCTTGTCCTTGTAGCATCTCAATCACTCACAGGGATGTCTGGTCACTGCCGCACGGATTTTCACGTGGTTGCTGCGACGCCGCTCATTTCAGCATCTGCATTAGTTTCGCATACGGAGCACATTTTTTGAACACCCCCGATCGTAAGCCTAGATGAAGTACTTTGTTGACTCATCGGTCTCGGTGCCCGATGCCCGTATCCTACAATACGGGATGACGATCACCTGATGGATCGCACGACGTACCGGTCTCGCCAGGTCAAGCCCAAGGGAGCTGCATTCGTGTCCCGCGCCTTAAACAGCGTTCTCAGAAAGTTCCCGGTGGAAGCCTCGAGGATGCTTGATGACGGTGGCGTAATCCGCCAGGTGATTGAAACGGCGGTTACTCGCGTCATGCAGTTGCAACCATTTGGGCATGCATGGGTGAATGTTTTTCAGGCGCGGGTGATACATCTTGCGGGTGGCTGTCAATTCGCTGTGAATCGTGAGCCAGGAGCACTCTGAACACCAGGAATGTATATGTGGAAAGTGTTACCTTGGCAAAAGCATGCAGGAAGTTTCGGATGGCGACCGTATCAGAACCTCGCCGTTGATGTCATTCAAGAAGGGACCAGATATTTGTTGGAGCCCGTGTGTTGCATGAATTGGATGTTTGGCATGGAAACAAGCCCGCTGTGAACATCACCATTTGGTTGCGAACTTGAAATCTCGTTTGCCAAGTGAGAAGACGGCGGAAAATACCGGGAACACGCGCATGCCTTCTGACGAAAGCCCTAGATATTATCGGTTTGAGACTAACGCTTAGCTCGGCAAGGTACTGTAGCGCGTGTGCACTCGTCTCTTTCTGTACCTTGACCTGCCGAAGCCTGTGGTCGGCATTGGGGCCGAAACTGGAAACTGGATCACGAGCCATGAAGTGCTAGGTGACGTTTTTCGCGACGAATGGTGTCTAGCCGCCATTCTCTGCCTGATTTCTACTGTTTTACACCTTTACCTCTTCTGTTGCCCCCCCGTCTATCGTCTTAGGTGGCGGAGGCGTGTTTGGTGGGAGTTAACGACGGCAGTGACAGCTCCAGAGAGCCAGATCTCGTCATCGTGCAGCACATTACCGTTCTCTGCAGGCAAGATTTCTGTTTTATCCCTCCCCACTCTTTTACCCATCTGTGTGACGTTAATGCTTTCACATTGTCGTCTCCTCATTCTATTGCTGGTGTTTTGGTCCTGCTGGGGCTTTACTTTTGGATCCTTCCGACTCGGGATCATGTCGCGTAGTTCGGCTTTCACCATGGGCGAGTTTCGCTGTCCACCACCCGAGACCTCAGTAGTACCAGGGGATAGCAGTACCAGAGATTTAGTTCTCGATGGCCTGGCAAGCTTGTACAGGGTTCGCTTGTTTTTTTATTGTAAATATGGTGGCATCAGCGTGAGGATGTCGGTTGTGTGTGTAGTTCGAATCTTGTGTGTTGCCGGCAAGGACGGCTGTTTTTTTTCGCTCCAAACGGTTGCGATAACCCTCACCCTGGATATAGGTGCTTCCCTCGTGTCTCTCGCGTACGCAGTACATTTGAGTGAGCATGAAGCTGAACTCCCCTACCCCAATGTAAAGTTGAACACCTCTACCCCAACGTCACGCATTGGTTCAACCTGGTCCTGCGCCAAACGCCACCCACCTCGTTGTATCTTCACTTCGTATCATTCATGGATCAGGGTCCTGTTGGGCGCGCCCGCGACGCTACGCGGGGCATTGCAGCATCTGGCGGACTCGCACCCGGCAAGGTCCGGGGGACCAAACAGCACCAACGGCGGCGCAAGCGACGCTAATCCTACCGCGAACCCGGACTGGCTGCTGGCTGAGCTGGTGACATTTCGACACCGTAGACCCCTTCCCACCCCAATCCACCTTTACAATCGCAGATCGATGCGAAGTACTTGTTGGTGCACTGCTGTCTCGTCAGAAACATTTCCTGCGCAGTACCGTGTGTCTCTCCTTCCGTAGTGACCCTGTGTTGCGTTGTTGTGTGCGTCGAGAGACATCTTCATTTGCTGTCATTTGGTTGCGGCTTTGCTGATTGATGCAGGCCCGCTGAGGACCTCAGGCTCAGCATATCTTTTGTTGGAGGGCTGCGGGTCATCCCTTATTTTCCCCCCAGTCTTGTTGCATCGACCGTGCTATTTTCGTCCATTGCTGCTCTTCTGAGCTTTGTCAGCACGTCATCCCTTGTGGGAGTGTCCGCTGACGGCCCCCCCCCCTGGTTCAGTACTTGGCACTGACGGCATGTCTCTTCTCCTGCACGACAGCTTGTTTTTCGTGGCTGTGCTGCGGCAGCACACCTTAGCGTTTTGTGCCGCGCTCCCGTCGTTCTTTGTCATCGGGCTCTAGGTTTGACGGCACCGCAAGAAGCTCTAGCGTGCCCCTGACATGTTTCTCGTCACTCCGTACACATTACGCCCTTGTTTCACGGTCCGTTCTGCGTTAGGTTGGGCAAATGACCGCCCTTTTCGACTCCGCCGGGTATAGCGAGGCTGGGGTATGGAGAAGAAGGCTTTGGGCGATGGCTCTCTTGAAACTACTGCCGTCAGCCAACAGCGGGGTCATCAAGAACCTCGATCAGGTACGCTAAGCTTTCCCGCTGTTGCTCGGTTCCTGTCGATGTCTCCTTGTCTCTTCTTCTCCAACTTGGCTGTTCCGCCAACGTAGGGAGAAAATCAGAATATGTATCATGGTCAACCTTTTTTTTTTTTTGCACCATGAGATTTCTCCGAAGCTCTAAAGGGACGTACAGTGTGCGGCGGCCAGCAAGTATGCCAGGTCAGGTCAGTTTTTCATGTTTCTTCTTGTGTGGATTTTCGAGTAGAATTTGTGACAAATTTAGCTCAAGGTTTTTAGAGTATGGTTTGCGTTGACGTCCATGGGGTGCTCGATGTCTCGGTGCTTGGCGTTTGACACTTGGTGCTCATGATGCCGCAGATTGTTAACATCTGCGTGGACGTGCTGACGGAAGAGAGGGAAGACGGAGGAAAGAGGCTCAAGGAGAGCCTTGCTCAACCACCCGTAGGTAAGACGCAAACGATTTATGACAAGCCCTGACCTTCCTTCCTATATATGGTATTTCAGGATTCAAAAGTAGCCGGAGGGTTATGCTGACTGTGACCGAAGCCTGTGTGCTGGGTGGTGAACCCTGGACACAGATATGGCCATGTTTTCTGCGTGTGCACGTTCATGCCAGCGGAGGTTCTGCGAGTTGCTCTCAGTGCTCGATAGATGGTGCTGGGCAATCGAGAGCTGTGGATGGTCCCGACAACCAAACAATCTCTTTCCCCTTGCCCATGGCCCCGTCCCGCCTACGTGTTTGCTATCCACCTGTTCTTAGTGTCGATCCATCATGTCCATTTGATTTTAGTATACCTTGTTTCGGGTAAGTTAGCCTGTGACCACGGGAATCGACCGCGTCAAGTGTTTGACTAGTACGGACAGATGAAGGTACTGGGTAGACAGATCGGAACGGTTTTTATTGTGAACACAACAACATGAATAACACCAACAGCAGTGTATTCATATACTGTGTGTTGTTGCCCAGGGGAACCGGACAGCGCATCTGCCTCCGAACCAAATCTCCTCCATTCGAGGCTCCTGGAGGCATTACAAGCCGACGTTGCCGTAACAACGGACTTGAAGGGTCTGGTCAGAGCGAGCATGGATGCTTTGCGGGCGACGCTTGGGGACCAGGGTTGGCAGGTAGCAGTTGAAACGGTCGAGCCGGTGGTTTTGAGAGAACTACAGCGAATGGTGGCGTAGCCTATACCGTATTGAAGAACAACTAGACTGATTTTTAGTCACATGATTTCTTACGGTGTGTTCTACCCTATTGTCGATGTGAACAAGTCCAACATTTTGGCTGGTTTGGGAGTGACTGGTGAAGGGCGACAAAAAGAAGTGCTTGCTCCCGATGGATTTTTTTAGTCATTCGGGTCCGACATACCGATTAGGGCTAAATAATATGGTCGTGGTCGGGTTTAGCAACGCAATCACGACGACGGTGGTGCAAGCAGCGACGGAGAGAGGCAGTAGCTGAATCTGTTTTCCTTGACGAGCCCAGCCGGATGAGAGCTTGACAAACGAGGAGACCGAAACGTTCTGTTGTTGAACTTCGGGGTGCCACTTGTTGGTCGCGTAAGGTGTTGTTGGTTTGGTGCTCTGGATTTCTCTCTGGCCTACCTGGGCCGTGCTCCGCCGCCGAGCTATGTAATGACGAGTGAAAGGGGTGCTATTGACCAAGTGTTTGGTGCCGTAACCCTTGCGCGTATCTCTCCAAACGCTGCGAGATCGCTCTTGTGCCAATCACACCCTCGCTCTCGTGGAGGCATGCAAATGTGACCAACCACAGCAGCAGTGCTGTGCGACTGCACCCAAAGCGATCGATACGCGCACGCACGGCTTTTTTACACCCGTTTTTTGCCAGACACAAAAAATTGACACCTGTGAGATTTCCACATCTACCATCTCTGTTATGGAAGGAAACTCACCCATGAAACATGAACAGAGGTGCTGCGGACGCATCCTACTGGAAACCAGTCGAATGTCGGTGTAGTCACACGAACTACAGTAGACGTTCTCGTCAGACATAATGCTCAACAAAGTGACTGGTTGTGAGTGTGCAACACAGCAGCAGTAATTTTACTTCACGGCGCGACGAGCGACAGGAAGAGCTGCGTCGTTTTCAAATGTATGCAGACTGATTGACGATTCTCCAAAAAAAGAAAAAACGGAAAAAAAAACTCATGTACGAAGAAAATAACACGCTGGATAAAAAAATGTGGTGCCGATCCGGCTCACCAGCTTTCACGATCGCTCCACAACCAAGATCGTGCGAAACCGGCCGATGTGTCTACAAGGAAAGTTATCACCACATCCTAACGGTGGGGATAACTTAGACAGGCGGCGACGAGAAAATTGCTGTAATATCTGCGCAAGAGTGTGTTGAGTTTCCTCTCCGTCGAACCTTATCACACCTCACAGATCGAGCCAAACCTTTACAATCTGGAGACGTACCGAATCAATGGTCTCGACGGAACATGACACTTGTTACTTTTAGTGTAACCTGTAGTGTGGTAGCTGATCGGCGCCTTTCTGTACGCACGCGCGTGGCGTGTGGCGTACCCAAAGCAAAGAGCGAGAACTGTTTTGTGAGCGGGGACGTGGATGACGTCAGACAACGTCGTTACACACATCATCAGTAACGACACCCAGGGTCCGCTGACTCACGACACACCTCGGCTTGGTCCCACGCGTAGGGAGGGCAGGTAGCAGGTACGAACGAGTTCGGAGGAGGGGCACCTCATACACATGGTATTGACTCTACGGTTGTTCATATTCTCCTGCCGGCCATGCGCGCCACCATGCGCGCCGCCATACTCGTTGTCACAACTTTCGTTTTGACAGCGGTAGGAGGAGGAGAAGCCGAACCATGTGGCCTTCACACGGTAAACATGACTGTGACCAGCGGCGACGATGCCAACAACCTAAGCGACGCGCTCACTTGCACTGGCGGGGGGACGTTCGAGGTCAGCTGGATTGGGTCGATCCAGATCTCGCGAAGCATGGTTGTCGGGAACGGCAGCGTGCTCAACATTACAGGTTTGAGCCCCCGAAACGTTATTTGTTCTGGTTGTTGAACCAGAAAATGACGGAAAAAGGGCCAAACACAACCAACAGCAGTTATGCATATGTTGGCGAATACTACCACCCATCGGCGAGGTATATTGCCACACCATCGTACACCCATCGGCGAGGTATATTGCCACACCATCGTACACAGACCTCGATACTATCACGACTGCAGTAACGCAGGTATGTATTACCACTCATTCTTTACGGCCAAGCAAGGTGTAAGGAATTAAGGAATAATAAAAACACACACAGAAAGGTGTAAGGAATGTTCTACGGAGAAGTGCCTCGCTTACCCCTGAACCGTCTCTGTTGGGAGATATTCAACTCAAACTCTGCAAGTGCTCCGGTACGCCGGGGCCTCGATGCACACCGGAGCAGGAGGTCGGTAGCAATAGCACGGGGGAGGGGAATTAACACTCGCTGTGTGGCGGTGTGGCGTACCAGATTCTTTCAATAACCCTAACCCTATACTGTAAGTACATCGACCGGCACTCGTGGAGCTACACACGTACGCATACAGTACGAGTCTTGTAGTCGAGGTGGTAGATGAAAACAAACACTGCTGTGTGTCTGGGTGGTCTGACAACTATCGCCTCGCTATTGGCGATCCCACAGGAGGATCGGACGGAGCTGAGATCGACGGTGGCGGTTTCGCCCAGTTGTTCAACGTGACGAATTCTCGTCTGTCTACACCTTCAAAATTTGGCTCTTTTGAGGGGAGCCACCAATGGCAGCGGCGCTGCGGTATCAGCAAAAAACGCTGTAATCTCCGTCTACGATTGTGCGCTATCGGAGAACGCCGCTCTTGCAGGTGACGGAGGTGAGACCACTTGTACAGCACAGTGATGTACGTTACCCTTTGCCGGTAATTAAAAGGTAAAAGGGTGGTCGGTGAAGTCATTTTTTTCGGTAAACCTCGCCCCCGCCCCCCATCCCACTTGCGGGCCCCCCTCAGCCCTTGTCTTGCCAAAGCAGTAGGCCTGTGCTCGGTAGGTGATTTTTTTTCTTTTTTTCGGTGATTTTTTCCGATTGCCGAAAAAAAAAACGGTGATTATTTTAGTGCACTGAATTTTTTTTCGGGGAAAATCGGCGACAAAAATAAGAAAAGGGTGAGAGCCAAGAAAGATTTTTCGGTGCTTTTCGGTGATAATTTGAAGGGTAGACTGCCGAAAACGTTCTTCGGCGATGTTCGGCGATGTCTTTAAGGATCGTAGGAAGCACTCCACATGAAAACGTTCAAACGAACTCTGGTGTTCTTTTACGTATACCACAAGTGTGTCCGTACTGTGTACCGTGTGTGGTGTCTGCAGCACGGTGCTCGGGTTGTGTTCGCTGTGTGCTGTGTGCTGTTGGCTCTGCTGCTGTGCTGCTGCGCTTGAGGGGGGTATCTGATGGGATTTGCGGGGTACGGCTTGTATACACGGAGCCCCCTAAAAAAAACTGTGAAAATCAGTCAGGCGCCTCCCGTTTTCGGTGATCGGCCACTTTTTTTTCGGTGATTCAAATTCCTCACTTTTTTTTCGGTCAAGTTTTAAAAATTCGGTGCTTTTCGGTGATCACCTACCTACCGAGCACAGGCCTACAAAGCAGTGCTGCACGGCTGAAAAAAAAAAAAGATGGCGGCGGAACAAAGAATATCGGCTTACACAGAAGAGCAGCGCGACCGGCGTACATCCACCCAACGCTAAAGGTTTACAGCAGTAGACTATTCCAATAGCTATCTAGGGAACCAAGATTTGCCGAATTCCGTCCACTGTAGGCTGAAAACTTGTCGGCGCAACCCGCAGCCCGTGCCCGAAAAAAAACGTGCCGATCGTATCTACGCGGCGCAACTACGCTGCTGTGCACCCGCCAAAGAGACCAAGCACGAGAACGCGCCCACCACAGCATCAATCGCCACAAAAATTTGATGGAAGATGGACTGAGCGCCAGAGAGTAGATTGCATAAGAATTCAACTTAGTTACTGTAGTGCAGATGATCGAGAGGTAAGCACGAATGAAGTTGAAAACTTGCGTTCGCATACAGGCACCGTGCTTATGCCCTGCCACAGTGCCGGCAACACCGAGCATTGGTAATGTTAGCTGCTGATCTTGTGGTTGTATAGCACTTGGAATTGTGCTGCAATACGAACTACAGGTGGAGTACTCTTCAATGGCGTCAGCTAGGTTTGAACTGAAATTGCTGTTGGTGGTGCCCCGCTGTTATTGCACCGCACACGCTTGCTTGTGCCTGTTGGAGTCGGGACCTGAGACCTAGCAGCACAACTCTCCTGATTCCTGACGAAAAAAATGCAAGAAGGGTCGAGCGACTACTGTAACACGGCACCTGCGGTAACAGTGAGTTTGGCCACTGATAACGTTGTGCTACGTGGTGTCGCATGCAGGCACGGTCGGCATATATATGAACACATTGAAGTACTTGTCTCGATGTACATGAGTACGCCCTGAGCATTGGGTGTGGCGAGAACGCCGGAAATACTTACACACGAGCACCGCACACAAGATCGGGACCCCCCGGGTTGCCCAAACCTATCAACATCATGCCCGAAGGATACAACAACTAACTTATTTACAGTCAGTACAATACCTGCCCAACGCACACAGCACCCCAATAATAGGTTTCCGGCAGTTTGCCGGAAAAACGCGAAGAACAAAATACCATGCCAATAAACAACGGACACCCGGCTTGGCCGAAGAAAAATACCCCCCCCCCCCGCCCCCCGGTGGTCAAGCATCCTCGAGGCAGTTACACAGTGCTTACAACTGTCTCTGGAAGTGGAAGCACCAGAAAATAAATTAAGTCATACGTAGCTGTCATCCGTACGCAAGGAAGTAAGCACAAGATGCCGAACACCCTTAGCAGGATGCAGCTCACCCTTCATGCGACTCGCCAAATACCTCACGGCGCTTCGCGCTTGGTGATGTGAGAGCCTGGTCCGGTGAGAACCCGGCATGCTCCGTCCCGGCTTTGTAGGGATGCGAGGTCAATGGTCAAACGACTACGGCATGCACGACTATGAGTACACCCCCCCCCCGCCCCCCGGTCCACCTCCCTGCGCAACTAGGAACTAAAATTCGCCCCGGGCGGAAACGCGCGCTCTAGCCGGCTTGAAAGTATTAGGCTGAAGTTCGTCCGTCTGATGTCTCGTACCCCGGGGTCGTCGTATCTCGTGGATGGATGCATCCAACGGAAGTGAAGCACGGACGGACCTGTTCCAACCACCAACAAGGACGCGCGAAATATGTCATTGAAACATGGAGTTAGAATATATCAGACCACACGATCTT